TGGAAAGGGCTTAAGGTGACAAGTGTGTGCAGAGCCTACCCTTTCCACCTGGGCATGGTGGGAGAGCTGCTGTGTGCAGTGCCTGCCTGTGACCTTCAGCCACCCTCTACCATGAGTTTCTGCCCCCTCCCAGATCCTCACAGCAAGGGCGTCAGGGGTCTCTGTCGCCAGCTGGACTCAGTTCTTTGTGTGACCTTGCTGCACAGTCTACAGGTGACAGTCCCTTCCCATTATGTACATTTTCCCCCGATTATTAAAGTAATACATGTTGATTGTGGGAAATCTTGGAAAAAAACTTGTAATCTCTATCCAGAACAATGTTTCCTCAGTGAACTGTTCCTACCACAACGGCGTCTTCCTTCTCTCTTGCTCTTGTCTCTCCTGCCCAGACCTTGAGTCAGGCAGCTGTCACTCTCTTGCAGGCACTCCAGCCCAACATGTCTCAACTGAACGTCTCTCTGCTTCCCTGTGCTCAGCCACCCGTCACCATTGCGCTGGTAGGCATCAGTGTTCATGCAGTTGCAGAAGCCATAGACAGGCCCTGTCCCTGGCACTCCTCCGGCGTCCTTCGTTTCTGTCAGTGGCTGGAGTCCTGCCTGTTCTTCCTGCCGGTCCGTTTCCCTGTGGCCTCCCCACTCTTAGCATTTTATTAGCTCAGGCTCCATTTCTCACCCACTGGACTGCATATCTCCATTCAGGGCTTAGCATAGAAAATCAGGGCAGCTCTGACCTGTTCGACACCCTCAAGTCTGAGCTTGGAGCTGGCGGCCCCTCCCCCCTCATCTATACCTCTCCCTCTCTCCTCCCTTTCCCCATGGACTCTCACTGGCCTGAACTGTCCTTCAGATAAGTGTCACAGTGGTGTTAATTGTTTACTCTTCTGTCTCTCTAAGGACAGCAACTATGTCTTACTCATGATTGTACCAAGTAGAACCCAGCCAGAGTGGTTAATACATTTCTGGTAGGTAGAAGAAAATGAACATTTGTAGGTTCGTATGACAAAATGTGAGAGTGTTAGGCTAGTTCTGTGGTCCTGGCTGCCTTAACATTTTATCTTAACGATAAGATACTGCCTTGTCCCGTGGTGGTGGTTCTTTGAACAAGCTTCCAAAGTGTAAAGTGTGGTCGGCCCAGCAGAAGACAAGTGGGTGGACTGGCTGAGTTGGCTCTAGCACCTTGCACTGCGTTGACAGAGGCTAGGCTTTCCTGTAGCTGACCACAGTGCAGCAGAGATGACTAAGGCCAGAGATGGAGGGGAGTGCCACAGCTGAATGACCTGGTGATTGGATGGGAGGTCAGGAAGAAGGGGTCTCCGTGACCCAGGTTTCTGACTTGGGCCTAGCTACCTGAGCTGTCATGGACTAGTAGTGTTGATTTTTGAGATTCTTCTTGACATCCAGATGCATATGCCTGCCAGGCAGCAGGATATGAAGTTTGGGGAAGTATGCTATGGGAGGCGTGGGGGTTGAAGCTACAGGAGATTGCCTGATATACAGCTTCAGAAACAGAGTGGTCTCAGATGGAGAGAACTCAGGGAGGCTGACGTGCCAGGGCTGGGGCAGAAGAGGAGAGCTGCGGTGGCCGTGTCACAGAAACGGAGACGGTGGGCTTGAAGAGGGAATTGGGCAGTAAAAAGGCCATTGACTTTATTGTGCTTTTTTTTTTTGAGTCAGAGTCTCACTTTGTGGCCCAGGCTGGAGTGCAGTGGCACGATCACAGCTATGCAGCCTTGATCTGCTGGGCTCAAGCGATCCTCCCACCTCAGCCCTTCCAAGTAGCTGGGATGATAGGTGTGCACCACCACACCTGGCTGATATTTTATTTACTGTAGTGATGAGGTCTCACAATGTTGCCCAGGCTGGTCTTGAACTCCTGGGCTCAGGCAGTCATCTCGCCTTGGCCTCCCAAAGCACTGGGATGACAGGTATGAGCCACCATGCCTGGCCTGTTGTGCTTTAAAGAGAGAATAACAAAGAAGAAAATGGGTCTGTTCTTACCCAACCTGTAGCATGGATGACTTCAACGTGGCCTGCCTGACTGGCTTTTTGTTGGGTGGTTCTGCCCTGTCCTGCTAGTAGCCCCCACTGCCCCCTTCCCCCACTCACACTCTCAGGCTGGGTCTAACTCAGGACCTCCAGATCTCTTCTCATCTCAACCTGAGGCTGAGAACAGATTTGGGGCCCACTCCCAGAAATGTCAATTCAGTGAGCCCAGAGATCTTCGCTTCCTACAGGGGCCCTTCTGAAAGTCTGAGAACACTGATGCGTAGGTGCTCCAAACCGGCATTTTGATTCATGGCAAGAGAGCAGGACTTGATTATCGCGAACTTTTAAAAGACGATTGTGGAGAGGTGGCAGCCATGGAAACCTAGCTGAGTTCCACTGTGTGCGCGGGGGCCCGGGGGTGGGGAGAGTGCCACCATCTGGTGTGTCTGGAGATTTAACACTCTTTTTTTGGTGGGTTTTTGCAGCAGATGCCCCCGGTGCCCTGCATCCTGGCCTGTTGGGCTACCACTGATTTCAGCCAAAGCTCGGATGTTTGCAGTTTCTCTACTTCCTGCCAACACCTTTTGTTTTCTGCCTTGGGGCCTTCAAACTCAGAAAAAGAAGGGGAGAAGGGTTAACCCCAGGCTGCCTTCAGCCATGGGATTTGAGGTGTTGTCTGCCTCCACGGTCCCACAGTGTTGCCCCCACTCTCTGCAGTCCCCTCGACTCTGTGTTCTTTTTGGCCTTTCTTCTTCCCTTCCCGGGGCACCTTTCCTTTCCTCATTTCTGTTCCCTGGAACTCTCTCCATTTTAATCTTGCTAAAACCTTGTACACCGTAATGTGTCCATTGAGCTGACTTCACAGCTTAAATGCCAATAAAAGCCTTCTCTAATGCATTAGCTGCTTCTTCTTGTCCCTGTCTATCAATACTAGCACCTGATAATGTGTGTGGGAGGAAGTTGGAGAGAACATACTGTGCAATGCAGAACGGCACGCACAGCGTTTAAGCGGAAAGTAAATGTCTTTACACACACTGTACTGAGATCACTCCATGCGCACTTACTGGGCTTTCAGCAACCTCCATTTCTTTCATTTTACTTAGGGAGAGGGGCTGAGGTGATGTGAAAACCCAGAAAAGAGTTGGCACAGGGACAGTACTAGGTGTGCCTCTCTTACTCATTTGTGACATCTGTTCTTGGAGAACTCTGGGTAGCTCTTGTGGTGAGACTAAATTATAGAATAGAATAGAAAGCTAATAACAATGCTATAGTGCAGAAAGGGGGCAGATCTCTGCAGATGGCTAGGATACACATTGCCAGAGACCTGGCAATATCTCTTTCAAGGGGTATCTTTTTTTTTTTTTTTTTTAGTCCCTCCTGTAGTCTGAAGGAATCAGGGATATCTTATGAATGACACTTTGTGCACAGTAAATGCAAGATTTCTCTTTGCCTGGCTAGAAGGTATCTAGCCAGGTATCTAGTCCATGTTCTTCTTGTAGCTGAGACCGTTTTGATGATCAGTTTCATTCTTGATGATTTCACTGCTATGGAAAAGCAGTTGCCACAGGGGCTGCCATGTTACAGGCATTTAGTCATGTTGTGGAGGAAGGTGCTGGGTTGCCCAGATGATGTGTGGACTGTGGTCCCAGTGAGCCTGAGAGCAAGCCGTGCGTCCCAAGCAGAGTCCTGGGGATGCCGCGACAGTCTCACTCCCACCACCCAGCGCCTGCACAGTTGTACTTTGGCCTGTGGGCTTATTTTGTAGAATACCCAGTGGAAACATACTGGTTCCTCAGGCCAGGGTGTTTTGTGTAGTGGGTAGGTTATTTTATAGAAATTGGAAATTGGTGAGATCATTAGGTTATCTAGTATTTCAGCCATTCAGTTAGCATTTCAGTTCAGGTCCAGTGAGAAGTTAAACCAACCTATCTAGTTAGTCAGTGATAAGGCAGGACTAGATTATATAATCATCTTTATCTCATTTCTGAGATGGCTTCTGTCCTGGGCAGGGGAAAAAACAAGGCTGTTTTTCTGAGCTAGTTCAAACGATTTTTAGAGCTAATAGGGATTATATTTGATTTAGGATAAATGAAGGAAATTTGACATTTAAATGTCTATACAAATAGATTATTTAGAAAATCAAGATTAATAGATGGACAAAGTACATAAGCAAATGAAAAATTGTAAACACCTACATAGTCGTCAACAGTATGGGAATAGTTTAAAAAGTGATCTGATGATTTTGATGGACTGTTTTGCAACTAGTAAAACACTAGTTATGATGATCTACAAAGAAATAGTGATTTAAAAAACCAACTAGAGATTGTGGAGGAGTTGCTGTTTTGTGCTGTCATCTTTTCTGTACCATGCCTAGTACAGAGGTGGTTTCAGTAAGTTCCCATGTTTCTTAGATTTAAAGGATTAATTTTATGTATAGACTGTTAACTCATAACAGTTTCTGAAATTGATCAGTCAGAACCAATTTATTTTCTGGCCTATGCAGCATAGAAAGTGGCTATGTTACTTTTTGCTATTCTTGATCTGTGCATTAAAAACTAGCTGAAATGAAAGTGTTGTAAGGATTCTGTGAGAACTGGTAGAAAATTTTTCTCTTAGTTGCTAGAACCATCTGAGCTTAAGTTAATTTAAAAAAAAGGCTTTGGCCGGGTTTGGTGGCTCAGCCTGTAATCCCGTGCTTTGGGAGGCTGAGGTGAGTGAATTGCCTGAGCCCACGGGTTCGAGACCCACCTGGGCAACTTGGTGAGACCTCATCTCTACAATAAATCAAAAAAATTAGCCAGGCGTGGTAGTGTGTGCCTAGTTCCAGCTACTTGGAAGGCTGAGGCGGAAGGATTGCTGGAGCCCAGCAGGTCAAGGCTGCGGTGGCCGGGAGTGGCCACTGCACTCTAGTCTGGGTGACTGAGTGAGACTCCAACTCAAAAAAAAAAAAAGCTTTTCTAAAAATAAAATTAGCTTCTAATCAGATGTGCATTTCTTTTCTCTAGGGCCTCTGTTATGCACCTAAAGCCATACTGGAAACTCCAAAGGGAAGAGTGCCCTCTGGACGTCAGCAGGGAGACACTGAGAACACCTGTGAGCCACCAGAAGGCCCTCAGCGATGCAGAGTGTGCAGCCCGTAACGTGAAGCCTGCTGTCTCTCCTTCAGCCTCTCTGGGTAAAGCATCGTCTTGGAGGCCTCTTGAGATCCTTTCTCCAAATGTTCTGTGCAGTATGAGTGGGAAGAGTCCTGTGGAGAGCAGCTGGAGTGTGAAGGCCAAGAAGAATGCCCAACCTGCAACCATCCACCAGGGCGAAGGGGAAGGGCTGCTTGATATCTGGGCTGTTGTGAGACCGGGAAATACCAAGGAGAAAATTGCATTCTTCGCAGCCCACCAGTGTGGCAGTCGGATAGGACCCATGAAAAGCAAAAGCTCCTGGGACATTGATGGGCGCGCTAGCAAAAGAAGGAAAAAGTCAGGGGACCTCAGACAAGCCAAGACACAGCTGGAGAGGATGAAGGATGTTGGCAGCAGCTGCTACCAGCCTGAATCTGCTGCGTGTGGCCCTGAGCACTGTTCTGTGCATTGCATGAGCGACGGTGAGGAAGGGATCTGCACCGGGAGGCCCTTGTCGGTCATCCAGATGGTTGCCCTCCTCGAGCAAAGAGCCAGTGCTCTGCTGGCTAGCTGTGTGAAGAACTGCACCAACTCCCCTGGCGTTGTGAGGTTTTCCAGCCAGTCTAGAGGCATGCCCCCAGCCTGTGAGCCCTTCTCTGCCCCCGGAGCGTGCGAGGAACCCACAGAGAGGAGGAGTCCTGAGGTGGGCGAGCCGCAGAGCGAGCCAGTTCGTGTCCTCGACATGGTTGCCAGGCTGGAATCCGAGTGCCTGAGGCGGCAGAGCCAGCGGGAGCCAGGGAGCCTCTCCAGAAGCAACAGCTTCCGACAGGGTGTGGGCAGGGTATTGCTCACCCCCGATACTGCACAGAAAGGCGTCCCGGAGGCCTCCGAGGCGAAGGTCACGCCTGGGGGCTCTGTGTCTGCAGGCTGTGGCCCCCCAAGATCTGAGCCGTGTTCTCCTCCAGAGGCCCAGGATCGGGGTTGCCCCTCACTGCCAGCGGCTGGGAGTCCCCTTGGTGAAAGCGTAGAAGTGGCATCTGGCCCACAGGCTGTGAGACTCAGCAGCAGGCATGATGTGGAGATGGCGGACGAACTTGCTGGGCTACCTCTGCCGTCACATGGCTGTTCCCAGAGCACCGAGTTGTCCACAGATGCTGTTGACTGTGTGACTGGAGAGCTTATGCTACTGCCTAGCCAAAGTCCTGACCAGAGAAGGAAGGGCTCTCAGTGCATGAGTGTCACTGTGTCCAAGGCAGAGGACGACCGGCCTTCCAGTTTAAGCTTCCGTGAAGACCCACTTCCGGGGATGCTATTTTTCTTGCCGCCCGGGCAGCACCTGCCAGACTGTTCACAGCTGAAGGGAAGCATGGTAGAAACGTCCCCAGAGGCCAGCCTGCTTGCAGAGCCTGCAGAGGCTGACGATGCATCTGAGGTCGGAGGCTCAGCCGAGTCCCACGTGCCAGCAGCCTCCACGGTGGGAGGTGCACTCCAGGTGCCCGAGGCCTCCAGCTGGAGGAAGCCAGTGTCTCATGACTTTCTGGAGACCAGGTTCAAGATCCAGCAGCTCCTGGAGCCTCAGCAGTACATGGCCTTCCTGCCCCACCACATCATGGTCAGAATCTTCCGGCTCCTTCCTACTAAGAGCTTAGTGGCTCTCAAGTGCACCTGCTGCTACTTCAAGTTCATCATTGAGTACTACAATGTCAGGCCAGCAGACTCCCGCTGGGTTCGAGATCCCCGCTACCGAGAGGACCCTTGCAAGCAGTGCAAGAAGACGTACGTGAGGGGAGACGTGTCCCTGTGCCGGTGGCACCCCAAGCCCTACTGCCAGGCCCTGCCCTACGGGCCTGGGTACTGGATGTGCTGCCACCGGTCTCAGAAGGGTGTCCCTGGCTGTCAGTTGGGGCTTCATGACAACCACTGGGTTCCTGCCTGCCACAGCTTCAATCGTGCGCTCCACAAGAAAGCCAGGGGGACAGACGCAGACGAGGAGTGCTGAAAGCCAAGGGCGCGCCATCAGAGGCACTGTTTCAGCGCACGTGACTCCTGAGTTGTCTCTGCGAGAGAAACTGCACTTACTCTGTGAGGCTGTCCTTGCTCAGGCATCTTTTAAATGCTCCAATCCCGAGCTGTACGGGAAAACCCGTCGCCTCGTTTACGGCGGCACCTCCCAGCTGACCCAGGTGGTACCCCCAGTTTGATTCCATTGGCTGTGAATAACCACACCTGTCTTCCTGAGTCAGACCTGTCTTCGAGGATGGAGACCTGTCCCCACCAGAGTTGCTCAGAAGAGCTCACTGCAGACCCTGCAGGCATCCCTGCAGGCAAGGTTTCTAGACATGTTGCGGGCGCTGGCATCGCACAGGAAATATGTGGAGCGTGTCCTGGGAAGAGGGGCAGGACTCTCAGGTGGAAGCCATTCTTGTAAGGAAAAGTCAGGCCCTTACCCTAGCCTTGCGAGCGTGCTCCATGAGAGTGGTGTTTGTCGTTGGAGGTGGACTTCCTGCCCTGTGGTGTTTACAGTGTATATAATGGTTGTGTTTTCATAGGGCTGTGAAAATGCACATTAAACCCGAGCGCCTTTACCTGTTGACTAGTGCTTTGGCCCCTCTGTAGAGAACTTGGTTGCAATCCAGTCGCAGAGGACGGACAGCGACGGAATGCCATCATTGCCACAGTGCAGCTGGAATCACATAGCGGCTATGTTTGTGTGTTTTTTATTGTCTCAAATTTGTACATCCTGTATAAAATATGAATGTTTCCCAAATAAACTATGAATGTTTCCTGTATAATATATGAATGTTTCTGAGAAGAAACTCTAAATAATTAAAGGCTAACCTGTTCAAAGGATACCAAATAATGGTTTAACTGGACAAGCCGAAAATTAGCATAGACAACAAGCCTGTTATATTTTAGCCATCTGCTGAGACTGAGAGAGAACTATATAGTCAGATCATAACATTCTTGTCTACTTGATTCTTTGTCTGGTTACAAATTTTTTTTTAAACTTCAATAAAAACATGCATCTTAAGTGGAGCCTGAATCTTAAGAGACTTTTTTCCTCTCATTTGATGTGATTGCTGAGCGAGGTTCCTGTGAATCGAGTCATAGGAATTTACAAAATGTTTTTTGAATTATTGGGGGAGGAGACGTAAAACGTTTTTTACCATGGAAGAGAGACCCTGCACTTCACGTGGCGAGTGGCGTTCCTGAAGCCCTGCCTGTGTGGCGTTTGGGGTCCAGCCTCACCCACTGTATTTTCTGTTGGGTGAGGTACTTTCTAGGACGTTCTCTCAACGTGCCCAGGCGTCGTCATCCAGGAGTCACTGGGCATCTGTGCAGGCTGGTGGTCATGTGGTGCTTAGTGGGACTAGGAGGTGTCAGGTCCCAGAGAGCTGCCATGGGGGGAGAGCCAATAGCGAGGCAAGGCTGCCTTGCAGTCGGGCACCCAGCAGAACACCTCACATCAGCGCTGGGCTGTGCGGAGCAGAGGCAGATGTCCTGGGAAGGGTGCTCCACTAGGCTTGTCACATGTGCCCGTGTACGCAGGACCCAGAGGAGGCTGAAAGTGGCTTTCTTTCCTTCAAGAGTGACTCGCTTCGCTAGAATGCAGTGGAAAAAGCTGAATCCAGAGCCCCTTGGGCTGAAGCTTCCAGGGCTTAGCCACTGTCTGCCTTGCCCTGAGCTGAGTCTGAGTAGGGTTTGTTGTGGTTCATAAGAGGACTTAGAGGCAGCCTGCCACGTGGGTGTGGATGCACCCAGGGAGAGTTAGCTCATTGTTCCTGGCTGTGGCTGTACCTTGGCCCAAGGTGGACGCAGGACCCCCAGCGGTCGGCTGGCTTTTGCAGTCAGCCCCTCCTGCTCTAGTGGTCACATGGGATGCAGCCGTGGCTCTGTGAGGGGCTGCAGGGACACGAGCAGAGGGCACGGGCAGTGCCTGTGCCACTTGGTGTGTCATGCATGGCGCCCTCACACCACTTGCCCTGTCGGGATTGGAGCCGCTCCTGGTTCCTGCGCCTTCTGCATGGAAGAGGATTGTGGCAGGTGACTTCGGAGGCCCCCTCCCAGCAGCTTCAGTAGGCCTGCACATGCCCCCCCGCCCCCCCCCAAAGAGGGCTGTGCTGCAGGGCTCAGGGCCCCTGTCCCCGCCTGCTGCTGCAGTGAGTGCAGGAGGCTCACAGACTCAGCGGGCACCAGGACCCACCTCTTTCCGTCCCCTGCCCCACCCCTACCAAGCAGCACACCCAGCCTAGTCTTTTCTCTCCACCTTTGCCTTCAAGCCCTCGCTTGATGATGTGAAAGGAAATGCAGCAGAGTGCGGTGGCCCATGCCTGTCATCCCAACACTTTGAGAGGCCGAGGCAAGAGGACTGCCTGCATCCAGCAGTTTGAGACCAGCCTGGGCAACTTGGTGAAACCTTGTCTCTACGATGAATCAAGAAATTAGCTGGGTGTGGTGGCACGCACCTATAGTTCCAGCTACTTGGATGGTTGAGGCGGAAGGATCGCCTGAGCCCAGCAGGTGGAGGCTGTGGTGGCCGTGAGCGAGCCTGGGTGACAGTGAGACTGACTCAAAAAAAAAAAAACCCAGAGGTGGCCAAGGGCACCTCCCCTCCATCCCCTCTGGATGGATGAGACCAGAGACTGGGCTAGTGAGACTTGTCGGGGCTCTATCGAAACACCCCTGGGTGAAGCAGCCCTAGAGAAGGTGCTCGCAACACGCACACCAGTAGCCCTGAGCTCAGGGGGCACCTCCTTTGGGAACCCGAGCCTGGCCCCCACCCACTTTGTCCTGCCGGTGCCTTTCAGCTCTCTGAGCACAACCTCACCCCATGGCCTGTGCAGGTGGCCCTCTGACTTGGGGTTCAGCCAACGCTGGATGGAAAACAGGAAGAAAATGGTGTCTGTGCTGCACATGTACAGACGTTTTCTTGTCCTTATTCCTGAAACAGTGGGGCACCACAGTTGTCCACACAGTTCGTGTGTGGCGGTGGGCACTCCGTGCTTAGAGATGACAGTCAGATACGAGACGTGTCAGTCACTGACGCTCTAGGACATTTATGCCGGGGGCCTGAGCACCTGCGGGCCCCCAGAGTTTCTGTATGTGGAGCTCGTGCGCCCACTGTCCGCACCACCCCCTGTGTCTCAACACATGCCACACGCCCCACAGAATGTCTCTCTTGTCTTACCATGAATGGAAGGCAGGTTCCGACTACTCTGGCCTTCCTGTAGTTTCCCAGCTAGAGTGAGAAACCCCAAGTGGGGATATGGGGGCCTCGGAGGACCTTTTCCTCTGGCTGCTGCTAGTCCCGTGGGCACATTCTGGGCCAGGCATACTCCATGGCAGCCGCGGGGGTCGCTGGGGAATCGTGGCCAGGCATCGGGTGTAATTCAGGAGCCCCTGGCAGCAGGCCGATGGTGGCAGACTGCCCCGGGTTCCTCCCTCGCTTTGTCCACCTGTCCCGTGACTGGGATGTGCCAGTGCCTCCTGCCAGCCTTGCTGGACATGGGTTTTCCCAGGCTTTCACAGCTTCACCTGCTGTCGTTCTCCATCCACAGCCTGCTTCAAAAACATGAAGCCAGGGTGGGCGCGGTGGTTCACGCCTGTCATCCCAACACTTTGAGGGGCCAAGACAAGAAGATTATTTGAGTCCAGGAGTTTGAGACCAATCTGGGCAACACAGCAAGACCTTGTCTATACAAAACACCAAAAAATTAGCTGGACACGGCAGCACGCATCTGTAGTCCCAGCTACGCAGTAGGCCAAGGCGGAAGGATTGCCTGAGCCCAGGTCAAGGCTGCCATGGTTGGGCCACTGCACTCCAGCCTGGGCAACACAGTGAGACCCTGACTCAAAAAAATAAAAACGCCAAACGAGCCAGCATTACACCTTCTCTGTCTACACTGCTGACTGCACCCCCAAGAGGAACGTCCTCTTGCCGGATGCCAGGCATGGCGCCATGCTCAAGTGCATTCACTTCCTGCGGTGCCTGGCCCTTGGGGAATCTGTTTCCATCCATTTTTCCTTTGGGTTCAAATGAGCTCGTGTTGCAACCTTTGTGAGCGGGTGACAGCATCTTTGTGGGGAGTGTGCAGTCCCTTCAGCTGACGGGCACATCATTCCCAAGTGTGTGGCCATTGCTGGTGTCTGCCCAACCTCGTGGGGTGAGCAAACGTTGCAGTTTATGCACGCTTGGGTGGTGCCCAGGGTATTTATACCAAGCTGTTTTGAGGAAACCAAGGAAGGGGCGCCACCCTCGCAGGCAGCTGGCCTGAGCTCGGTCTTATTTTAGGGGAGCAGAGGTGTCACAGGTGGCAGCAGGGAAGGGAGAGGAGAACTGGGACAGGGGCAGAGATGGCCATCCTTCATCCAGTGATGACCCTGCAGAGGTGATGTTCCTCTAAAAAGCAAAATGAAACCTTTTGCCTCGGCCCCAGAGGCCCCTGTCCACATGAGCTGGCAGGGAACAGGCCTCAGGACAGGTTCACTTCGGGACCCCCGTATCACATTCCTTTTGACTTACCGTGGGCTTACGAAGAAAGTTGGAGTAGGCTCATCTTGTGCTTTGCTTTTCTCCTTGGGATGATAAAACAGCAGAGATTAGGTTCTCAAATTAGCATTTGGGGAAAATGGCATATGGCTGCACTTATTCTTAAATTCTTTCTGTCCACCACACAGCAGAAGCTATGAATACCACGCGCAGTGGCGTGCAGCGTGACAGGCCACGTGAGACGAGACGCCGGGCTGAGGGGCGAGTGTGTGCAGGCCACCGAGAGGGTTCCCTAAAATAAGACCGAGCTCAGGCCAGCTGCCTGCGAGGGTGGTACCCCTTCCTTGGTTTCCTCAAAACAGTTTGGTATAAATACCCTGGGCACCACCCAAGCGTCCCCCACTGCACGGGACAGTCACCTGTGCTCCTTAAGTTATTTCCCTCTTTCCCCGACTGTGTCAGAGGATCAAACAGCGGCTCTACCACCAGGCGTCGAAGTCTCAGATCTATTAAGTGGACAAAGACGCTGAAGTTCTTCTGAAACTAAAACAGATGAGTTGCCAAAGTCAAGTGGAAAGTGAGGCCACGCGAGCGTCTGTTTATCACCGTGAGGCACTGTTTGGGTCACCGCGTGTTTGGGTCGGGGATGGAGCGAGGTCTGGCGCCCCGCCTTCCATTCCAAGACTGAGCTGCCCGCCCTCCTGGGCCTCCCTCCACCCTCCACCGACCACCAGCAGCACCCGGCGGCGGGAAGCGGCCTGCTGTGAGCAGCCTGTTCCACTCCAGCCCCTGCCTACTCTCCTTGGGGCAGGGAGTGTGGCCGGGCTGCCCCGGTGCCTCAGCGTGCCACGTCCCCGTGGGCGCTTCCTCTCCACGGCTGGCATCCTGGGCTGGGGGCCCTCACCTTCCTAAGACTGTGCCCAGTGCAGGGTCTCCACAGGCAACCGCTGCCCATCTGAAGTAGGTGAAGCCAAGGATGGGTGATCAGAGCATAGCTATGTGGGCAGCCCACCCTCCTGGCGCCCCTTGCACTGAGCCACGCCGTGGCCACGTCTCAGGCTTAAGCGGCCTTTTCTCTGGAGGACTAAGCTGGGGAGGGGGCGGGAGGTCCCAGGGCTCTGGGAACCCAGGCGGTGGTTTGTAAGGGGATTGGAGGTTCTAGAAGAGCTGCCCCCCTTGGCCCGCAGACT